GACACCGGGCTGGAGTAGTCGGCGTCGCATCCCGGTTTCCCCCCGCCTGGCACTGGTGGGATTCCCGGGACGTGTACGGAAAGACCCCATCCCGACATCCCCTTGTCCCGAGGGGAAAATTGCTGCCGTGAGGGGGTGTGGGTTTGAGTGGGGAAACTCTGCCTCAGTTTCCCCACTGCTGCCAAAGCGCAGGGTCTTTCCCAAGGTAACGGGTGACCTATAGGGTGAATTTTCCTAAATTAATCCTCCCCAATTCCCCAGGGGGGATTCGCTGGCGGGGCAGATCCCGGGGGAAAAGGCGCTTCTGCTTCCCAGGATATTTATAAGAGACGGGAAACTGGTGCCGGCCCCAAGGGGCAGCAGCTGCCGGCAGGGCAGCGCCTCGCGGGTCCTTTCTCAGCCTTGCGGGACTGAGAACATTTTGGGTGCTCACTCCTGGCGGGGCGAGGATGCTCCTGCCGCCGGTGGCGGCCGACCTCTCCCGGAGGGTGAAAGAAGGGTTAGGCCACCGTGGTGTCCCCCTTCCCACCACCCTCATCCCTGCTCGCTCCCTGCCGAGGCTGGGGCTAGGTTGGCGGGGCTGATCTCGGGATTTTCCCAGGAGCAGGAAAGCCGGAGCTGGTCCTGGGAACGGGGAGAGATGAGGGGAGTGGTGAGATGTCCTGCTCGGAGCAGCTGCAGCACCCGCCCGTCCCTCTGTCCGTCCATCCACCCGTTCCTGTGTCCATACATCCACCTGTCCTTCTGTCCATACATCCACCCGTCCCTCTGTCCCTCCATCTGCTCATCCTTCTGTCCCTCTATCCACCCGTCCCTCTGTCCATCCACCCACATGTCCCTCTGTCCTTCCATCCTCCTGCCTGTCCCTCCGTCCCTCCATCCACATGTCCCTCTGTCCTTCCATCCACCCGCCCATCCATCCATCCCTCCACCCAACCTTCCATTCAATCATCTATGTAGACTTATCTTCATCCATCCATCCGTCCATCCATCCATCCATCATCCATCCATCCATCCCTCCCTCCCTTCAATCAATCATCTATGTAGGTTTATCTTCATCCATCCATCCATCCATCCGTCCATCCATCCATCCATCCATC